GAATTATAGTAAATATAAAGAATTATTAAGCTACAGAGGAGAAGAAATGGATTTGTTGAATCTTCATGCATGAAAATTTGGGGGAAAGGGGAGGAAGAAAAGGGGAGAGGCAAAATTGACCCAAACCTTTCCTGTTCTGTCTATATCTGTCAAATTCACACCCCAAATCTGCCACTGCTTTGGAGCCCATTTTTATAAATGTGCTGCTGCTTCTTCCACTGAAGTATTATTAAAAAGGTTTTGTGAAGTCTGAATGTGGCCCTCAGAATTGGAAACTCCTTTCCTTCCCCTTCCCCTTCTTTCTTGTAACAATAAGATCTGAGCCATTTCCCAATTTTTCACTTTTAATGGTTGAAGATATTTAGAAATTAAAGATTTAATTGCTTATATCACATTATTTAAAATAATTAAGCATATATTCAGAAAGCCCAATCAAAGCCTACATTCAAGAAGGTGAGCTAACAACAGCATTTCTATCCATTCCCAGAAACTAATTTCAACGAGACCAACATACAGGTTTTGTGCTGATTTGTAATTTTTAGGTACCTTCTCAATTGCCGCAGCAGTGTTACAAGATATGATCATTTGCCAGTTGCCTCAACAAAATAGGAGTAATTCCTTTCCAGGAATTCTTGCTGTGGCCCCAATTGGAAAAGAAAAGCTGTAGGGGGCATATCCCTTAGAAAGAAAACATATTCTTTAAGTTTGATTGAAAAGACTTTAAGCTGAATTTCATGTAGATTTATTCCACAGCTGAGATTTTGTTTCATTAGCTCAGAACAGAATTATTATCCCAATGTGTGATTGGAAGAGATATGCTATGAGGAATAGGAAAATCTTACATTTTTCAATGATTTACATGTCCTTAAATATATGCTGACAGAGGATGTTAGCAAGAAGCATGGACATCAGTTACTGGAAATCCGCAAGCAACTGAAAAGATAACCATATGTGTAGGAATGTGGTAGAGCAATTGTGTGAGATTCATTATGACTGCAAATTAGTTGACCAACTATTAAGTTAAAGTTTACCTCCTGCGTAAGGAATTTTTTAAAAGAAAGGTCAATAATACATATTTTAATTTATTTGTAATTAATTATTCTGTGTAGAAGCAAAGTGATGTATTAGAAGCACATATTTTGCATTCTTTGCAGGGGCGTCTAATATAGCTTGATAATGATCATTGCAACAAGCAAGAGTAGCTTAGGCAGAGATTAATATATTTGTTCAGATTTTTATATAGCTTAATAAGTTCATTTATAAAGCCCATGGAGGAAGCAGAGTTGTTTTGAATTCTTATCATAAGTACAATGGAAGTTGAAACACAGAGGTTAATTAGTTACAAAATAAAATGCAAAATATGCTGAGCTATTCCTTGTTATTATTTCAGTACTCTACTACACCTACCTCTAATTTTATTTTCCTGAAACATAACCTAAGCCTGAATAGTTTTAGATATAGATTACCATGTTAAAGAAATTTTACATTGAAACCAACATTAAGTTATTTTTATCAGACTCCTTCCAAAAGTAGATGAAGTCAGATACCTGAAGTTAGAGTATGCATAAAATGGAAAAATGTTTTGATCTTGGAACAGTGCTCCTTACCCAGAAGGTACTTTTTGAATGTTCCAAATAGACTGCCTTCCAAAGGAACAAAAACTTGAGTAGTGAGTAGTCTTCATAGCAAAACCTGAAGCTTTTCTTCAAGTGTTATAGTCATAGGAAACATTGGGAAATTAGGTATGAGCCATTACTCCCTTCTTTTTGCTTCACCATCACACAAGTAGATGGTGTGGCAGTCCATGTTGACTGCTACCTCTCCACCAACTTGCAGAAAGATTGACACAAATACAGTTTTGCCCTCTTCTTACCCTGAGCCACTAGAAGAGCAAAACCTCTCCCAGCACCTCCCAGCTTCATTATGCTACATCAATGTTGCAAGTCCCATCCACAAAGGAATGTCATTAGATGGGACCCAGGAGGAGAGCTTTTTTTACCATGGCACCTGCCCTTTGGAAAATCATTCCCCCAAGGTCAGATTGGCCCCAACCTTTCTGGCCTTCCTGAAGGGCCTGAAGACATGGCTTTGCCATCTGGCCTGGGGATCTGGGAATATGGGTGTGGAGCCTGTAAAGTAGCTGTATTGTTATGGAAATTGAGTGTGCTCACCTTCAAATTAGGTTTTTGGGGGTTTTTTTAATGATTTTTAATGTTTTCTATTGTTTTTAATGGTTTTTTAATTATTATGTTTTTGGTTATTTTGTTGCATTGTTTTTTGTGGGTTTTTTTTTTTAACTTTGTATGCTGCTCATAATCACTTATGTGAGATGGGTGGCTACATACATTTACCAAATAAATAAATAAAATGTCTTCAGTCATTGCATAGAATATAGGGTGGCTGTTCTCACTGTTAAAGTTGTTTAATTGCATGAGCAGTGATCATTAGCATTACGTAGCATTACTGTACAAATATGCTGGTATTGCACATTGTGAATAAAGCAACTCTTTAATACAAATTATACTTTTAGGAATGCTATTCTAGTCTTTTTTTTTCCTTTCTCAGATAGCCACCATTTCTGATAGCATAAAGTCACTCTGTTTGTCTTATTTGACCACAGGCAGCTCATGTTCACACCTATCTGCATAGTCTATCTGCATAGTCCGATCTGCATAGTCTATCTGCATAGTCCGATGCTTTGAAAATCAAATGTTATAGAAATGTTTGTTATTACAGAGTTTTATTTTTCTTTTCTATATCTATATAGATCAGAGTTGTGATGATAAGTCTGCTTGACAACACAGTTTGCAAGTAATAGTGCTTTACATAACCAAACTCCCACCTTCTGAAGAATAAGAATAGTCAGTAAAAAAATAATTGTTTATAGATTGGGGATTACCTCATGAAGGCTACTAAAATGAATTAAGGCCAATTCCTTACTAGTTACTTACAGCTTCTTCTAGTTTCACCCACCTTCTATAGTCCTCTTTACTGTTTTATCAACACAACAGTCTTTGGATGATTTGGGAAGATGCTGTAAGTCATTAGTATGAACTGTAGGGAAAAGCAACCCCATTAAGTAGAGAAATTGTACATCAAAGGAGGAAGAACAGAGTTAAAGTACATTAGTCATACTCAGCATCTGTACTAACTGGGAACATTTTGTGCCTTGGATCAAACCAGGAGCATGTTCTCCCTGGTGCTATTGATTTGATCCATCATTACTGTATCATGGCACATGCCTCATTTTGAGGCCAATAAAAGGGAATGTTTTATTATGAACTAGAAATTGAATGATTTCTTAGTATCAGTATGAAGTGCATACCTTCTTTCCCAACTTCTTTTCCTATACTTGTGATACACCTTGCTAATAACACAATTAATCACTAGATGGGGTTCAGACAAAGTTTTACTTGTATTACTTATTGATCTAGCAATTCATGGATTTCATCTTTTTCATAGGATTGTTTTATGTTTTTGTTTTCACACCGTCACATATGTTTAGCTCATATTGAAGGCTCTGGGCAAGAGACAGACTTACTGCTTTTTTCTTGGAGGTCTTCCCTTAAGAAGTTTTGGAAATGACATATTCCCATGATACATGTTCCACAGCAGCTTATGGTGATGGTCATAGTATCATTCTATGCTGTAACTGACTTGAACATGTTTTTCACCCAGTAATTTTTCCACTGTGAAAATCTGATAATTTGTTACAGACAGGAGTCAAGCTGCCTGGACATTTGGTTCCTTGCCACATGCTGCGCCACTGTGTATGACTATTGCCTAGAATACTGGCAGCAGTTTTAAGATGTCTTCTATCAGTATTTTCTTCCCTATATCTCTATCCATACTAAGGGAACAAATATTTTTGTGTCTTATATATAAGCACCATTGCAGCCAAGAAGCCAACTTTTTTGACTGACGGAGGGTGCAAAATGTCATTTGAGCACTCCAGTTTTTTTAATAATTGAACAGGGCTTCACTCAGAATAAAAAAATAAATATGACTACTCTAAATATGATTTAAGGTAGATCCAATCAACTATTTTCTGTAAGGATGGTTGCAATTTATTGAAGATTTTTTGGAGTCTCACATTGCAAGATATCAGCATATCATTTTTGCCTGTCTGTCTGTCTGTCTTAGTAGATATTCTATAACCTGTTCTGAATTATTCTGAATTTTTCAATGTATTCAATTTCTTGCTTTCCAAGTTTTATGAAAATTATATTGACAATTACTATTCTTTTCTTTCCTTTAACACAAGTTTTTAAAAGAAAACAGAATATGATCCCATGTACGTGGTTTTACACCATGCTCTTTTGGAAGGGTAGCAAAATTATGAATTTTATAGCTGCATTGCTCTCTGAAGGCAACATATGTTGCTTTTTGCACACCTGTAAAACATTGTTTATGGTAATACTGCATCTGCTATTGTTTGATGCTGCTTTGTATATACTGCATTATTTGAATGATAATTATAATAATTGCAAGTAGGAATAATTATGATTGCAATGCTATTGGAAGACCTGGAGCACCAGGTTTGGAACAGATCATCCTACAGAATATCTGTGTGGTCAGTAAAAGTTAACATTGACTTGATGGCAGATAATCACTTTCACTAAGCAAGTGTGTCAATGTTAGTGTGATGCTTTCTTGGTCAATTTTAACAAAATGAGTGCCAATCTTTATTATTCTGCGGCAGAACTATAAAAATAAACACTTGACCTTATAAACTGCATAGTAATAAAGGATTATTGGGTGAACTGTACTTAATGTAACTTGAAGACTAAATTGATAATTAAGAAAATAAATCACTTTTAGCCTATTTTCTCTTTTAAGAAACAATTTTTCAAAGCACAGTTGTTCCTTGTGTACATTATCCCAGTCAATCTAGAAATTTTTCTTTGAAGGGTGAAGTATAAAAAATAGTTTGTACAATTAAACATAGTTACCTTTAAGTAATATTTTATCTAATTCTTTTCTCTGTCATTATTGCACAGTGTTATGAGAGTAACTAACTTGCCATCTATTGGGAGACAGACTTTGCCAAGTATGGTACTTCCAGGAAATTCATAATTTGTGTCACTGACAGCATACATGTTTGAAGGATGGAAGAAGACAAAGAGGATTCACTATCCCTTTCTTGTACTCAACAATAGAGAAGATTAGTCAAGGAAATGGAAGTACCAGGAACATTAAGGAGAAATGCCGATGTAGTTAAGAATTCCTGATTGTGATAGATACTAAAGCTGAATGTAGTCAGAGCTGTATATAGTCTTAAAAGAAAGCATACCTGACAAATGCAGAGCAATAATAAGTAGGATTCCATAGTGGAAGAAACAAATGGAAAAAGGAGCCCAAGACTGATGGAATTTCCAAAAAAAAAAAGAGAGAGAGAGAGAAGGATACTAAAAGCACAATTGCAAATAATTTCAAGTTGGGGGGGGGGGAAGGAGAACAAAAGCCAATGCACTGCACAAAAAGCATTGTGAAAATCTGAAAATTAAAGGGAAAAAAACCATGTAAGAGGTGGGGGAAAAGTGTGTGTCACCAAAAAAGAGTACTGATAGGTAGCACTATATCCAAAAAGTTAAAGCTCAGAATGAACTGAAATTGGAGAAGGATGATAAGAACAACATAGGTTTCTTTAGATATACAGGTCCCTGAGTTAAGAATGCCTGGTTTACGGACAACCCATAGTTAAGAATGCAGCCTATTGTAGCAAAATTCAAGTCAAATACACAATGATTCGAGTTAAATACACAATGGTTCAGGTTAATTACACAATACTATTTATACAGCATTATACAATAATACTGTTCCGGTTTACAAACAAATTCGAGTTAAGGACGGACCTTGGAACGGAACTCATTCTTAAACTGGGGACTACCTGTATTCAAAATAAAAAGAAGAGAAAGGAATCAATATACCAAGGCACAGTGAAGACAACAAAACACTAAAAGGTTAAAAAGAAAAGCTACCAACTTCTTTTTTTCCCCCCAATTTTCTCTGAAAAGTTGGTATGATTCCACTAGGTAATTCTGAAGACCAGACTGAAGGCAGAGGGTTGCAGTTTGAGATTCATAGAAACATACTAAGGGATTGGAAATTATTTATTTGGAATAGTTTTGGAGAGTGGGTGAAGTTCCATATAGGAAGTGGCAGAGGTCAAATGTCTCTATCCTCAAAATGGAGATCAAAAATATATCATAAACAGATTACTTTTTAAGCACCTTGAAAACTGTTTAGTGTACACTAGAAATCAACATAAATTTATCAAGAACAAGTCTTGTCAATATCTTACTTTTATCATTGGATAATCCTTAGTAGATTATGGGAATGTTATAGTATCTCTTGCCTTCAGCAAACCATTTCCCATCTAGTAAGATCAGGCAGAGTTGGTTAAACAATGTCATCTATAGGACCCCAGAAAGTGTACCTTCTCTGCTATGATGACTGCTCTCTGGAATGTTATTCCTCCAAACTACCACCCGTCCTTAAAAACATGATCTTTCTCCCAGGCCTGCAGTAGGGTGCTTGTACAGCCTAAGTCAGCCATGTTTTCTGTTATAGAGGATTGGGGGTGGGGGGAGGTTGGTTGGTTGGTTGGTTGGTTGGTTGGTTGGTTGGTTGGTTGGTTGGTTGGTTGGTTGGTTGGTTGGTTGGTTGGTTGGTTGGTTGGTTGGTTGGTTGGTTGGTTGGTTGGTTGGTTGGTTGGTTGGTTGGTTGGTTGGTTGGTTGGTTGGTTGGTTGGTTGGTTGGTTGGTTGGTTGGTTGGTTGGTTGGTTGGTTGGTTGGTTGGTTGGTTATTTTAGTGTAAACTGCCCAGAGTCATTCTAAAGTTAGGTGACCTCTAAATCTCATAAATAAATAAATGTCCAGACTGCTCTGTGATATTCTAGTGAATGAGTGAATTAGATATGGGCTGGATAGCATGATAATTAAATAGACATATTATAATCATATTCAAAGAGTGCTAATTAATTGTTCCTCATCAAATTGGAATGAGGTATTAAGTGAAGTGCCACAAAGTTCAAACTTGGTGTCTGTATTTTCCCACAATTGTATTAATGACCTGGATGAAAAGAGAGAGAGAATGCTTATCAGATTCGTAGATAGGACAAAATTAGATGGGTTGGTACCCTAGAAGACAGAAATAAAACTAAAATCAAGCTTGATAGTTTAAATAATTGAGCTGAAAATAACCAAAAATAAATTTAACAAAGACAAATCTTTCATTAACAAAACATAAATCAAATGGAGATTTATAAAGTGGGGAATACCTGGCTTGTAATAGTACTTATGACTGTAAATGTAATAAGAATCAGCAGTATGATAGAGCTGAAAAATGGCAAAAACAATTTTAGACTGCATCAATAGAATTGTTCCCAAATCACAAGAAATAATAGTTATAATTTATTCTGTATTGGTCAGAGGCCCAACTGAGCCGGGAGTTGGACTCTGTGGCATAAACGGTTTTAATGTCAATAAAAACAATTAAATATAACAATAAACCATAGAAGCATTGATCATAAAATAAGATAATGAATACAGTAAGAATACAGTTTTTAACACAATGTTCATTTAAATAGGCAGTCTTGTCTGGAGCTGTTGTTATACCACCTGGATGAACAAACATGCCTTCAGTTGTTAGGCTATTAATTCTTTTTTCAGGAAGGTTAATCATGTACCTCTTCTTTCAGAAAATAAATTTCCCTTCTGTTCCATTCATAATGTGTTAATTTTTTTAAAAAAATGATGAAAGGCAAATCAAATTTGTTTTATAACAACCATTTAACAGCATAATTTATAAGAACACAATATTGTCTTGCAAGTTAATTTATTATTATATATGTTAAAACTGAGGTAGCTGAATGAGGAGGTTGTTCGTTTAAATATAAATTGCTTCAATCTGGATTTTCACAAATCCAAAGCATTTGTCTTTATTTAACCTTTTCACAGTCCTTGCTTTTCTTTAAAGTACACTCAGACCCCTATCTTGTTTCTCGAGAAGGTATTTAATACACAACTTAGTGTCATTTGCATTATACCAGAAGATTAACTTTACAAGCTGTGCTATTAATCTGAGGAGCTCTACATATTGACCTATGAAACAGCTAATTGTTAGCTTAATTAAGTCAATTAATTGTCAGAGTCTGATGAATTTATTATTAAAAGGAAATTAAAGGCAAACAGAAATCGGCATTTGTTGGTCAGAAATAATATTTTATGGAATTTTATAGTGCACTCTGTTTAAATGATGCAAGCATCTCTTGTAAAGCAACTAAAAGTAGGTAATTAAGAATTAATAAAGGCTAAAAATGAATTATTTGTTCTGATTGATAATTTTTCAAAATTAGAAAAAAAGTGTCTAGTTTAAGCTACATGTGCAACTTGGTGCAATTGCTCATCTTATATTTTGTAATGAGAATTTCAGATAAAGATGCAGCCAATTTTGTTTGGTTTAGCATTTCATAAACATCCCAGTAAGCTTTCCCTTCTTACACCAATCCTGCATGTACCTTCTCCAGAGCAACATCCCTCTGCCTATTAGATGGTCTATAGAAGATCAGTTCTCATCCCACCAAAAAACTTGTTTAGCATCATACTTTTGTAAGAATGTCTTTGACCCTCTGTCAGCCCTCCAAGATAGACCAGACTAGAAAACCAGTGCTACTTTTATATAAAGCAGTGTTGTCCAAACATGGCCACTTTAAGATGAGTGGACTTCAACTGCCAGAATTCCCCAGCCAGCATGG